AGTTCTAGTGAGGACGCAGGCAGCAGCATCTGGAGCAGCTGCAGCTGTCTGATCTACTTTCTTAGTTCTAGTGAGGACGCAGGCAGCAGCATCTGGATCAGCTGCAGCTGTCTGATCTACTTTCTTAGTTCTAGTGAGGACGCAGGCAGCAGCATCTGGATCAGCTGCAGCTGTCTGATCTACTTTCTTAGTTCTAGTGAGGACGCAGGAAGCAGCATCTGGATCAGCTGCAGCTGTCTGATCTACTTTCATAGCTCTAGTAAGGATGCAGGCGGCTCACACTGGTAATCTGTGATACCGGGCATTTGCCAGGTGGGCTGGTCCTAATTCAGCATGTGAGGGCCGGCCCTCCTTAAATCATACCGTTCCAAACACTTACTCTCCAGCCAAAGCTCCTACCTGTGACAGTAAATAACTCAATGAGCTCAAGAAGTAATCCAATGTTAACTCCCTAAATGATGCATGCAGCATATATAGCCCTTCCTTGTCATGCACATCCTTGTGAACGTTGGCATATGGTGTCATTTTCTGTTTCTTCAAACTGTAAAATCCTTGCAACAAACTAAATTATAATAAAACTAAAATATTTTCTTTAAACTAAACTACGATGTTCCTGTTAAAAATTTATGTTCAAATATTTTGCAAAAATATGTTGCGGTGCATGATGGGGTATTAAATCTATTACATTATTCCATTTCATTGCCCACATGCCACCTAGACTGGCAGTGAATGCTCACACACCGCTGAGCTTTCATGGATTCATTGTTGAACTGCCCGTCTGCCTCTATATTGTAGTGTTTTATGTTGGTGTTCAGTTTCAGTTCTTGTAAACTCTGCCCAGTTCTGTTCAGAGTGCCGTCCAGGTCCAGAGCCGTTCACACAGCATCTGTGTTTGTTCAGTTGTGGCTTCTTTGCTTTCAGAGCAGGGCAGGGTGTGTCCATGTCAGCTGCTCTGCTGTATTCATGCTGAACACACCCTGCCTACCATCTCACAAACAAACAGAGTTCCCGCAGCTGGAGATTCCACCTGAATCCTAAAGTTTAGCTCACATCTTTGCCTTTTTCGCACTGTCCCAGTCATGGAGCGTCTGAAACTGGTTTTGCAGTACTTCCAGTCCAACTCCGAGTCCATCTCTAATGGAATCTGCATCATCCTGGCGCTGGTCAGCGTCAAGCTCTACACCAGCTTTGACTTCAACTGCCCATGCCTTCCTCAATACAACAAGCTGTACTCTCTGGGGGTGATGATCGTCCCTCCCATCATCTTCTTCTTCCTGGGGGTCTTGGTCAACCGACACACAGGCGTCATGATGGACGAGTGGATGAGACCAGTCGGGAATCGATCCAAAAACCCTGCCGTGGTGAAGTGAGTAGAACTCTTCCTGTAAGAAACCCAACCAATCAGCTCAGACACCCGGCATGAGTTAGACTTAGATAGTATTTATTATTTTTGTATACAAAAGAAACTTCGCAAAGTACAGCTCTCTAGACTATTTCATTTTTTAAAGTGCATCCAATAAAAACATTTGTGATGGGGGAAAAAACACTGCGGTGAAAAGAAGTGATGTAAACATATGACTGTATAGTTACAGTTCCAACATCCAGGCTTTTTTTTTTATAACCCATTTTACATAACATTCAGCAGTGTAATGGCAGGGGGGAAGAAACTGTTGTGGAATCTGCTGGACCTGCATCGGATGCTGCGAAGTCTCCTCCCAGAGGGCAGCAGGGAGAACAGTCCATGGTGGGGGTGTGAGGGGTCATTGATGATGTCACAGGCTTGGGACACGCAGAGCTGGGATGAAATGTCTTTAATGAAGGGAAGAGGAGCCCC